AAGCTCTTCCCGCAGTCGGGGCACTCACAGGGCTTCCCTTACTGGTGGGTCCGTTGGTGTTTGGTCAAGGCAGAGCTCTGGGTGAAGCTCTTCCCTCATTCCAAGCATTTGTAAGGCCGTTCCCCAGTGTGGAGGCGCTGGTGACTGATTAGGGCAGAGTTCTGGTTGAAGCCCTTCCCGCAGTCAGTGCAGCGGAAGGGCCTCTCATCCGTGTGCATCCGCTCATGCCTGAGGAGATCTGAGCTGGTCTGAAACCTCTTCCCACATTCCCCACACGTGTAGGGACGTTCCCCAGTGTGGATGCGCTGGTGTTTGTGGAGGTGGGAGCTCTGCCTGAAGCTCTTCCCACATTCCCCACACGTATAGGGCCGTTTCCCAGTGTGGATGTGCTGGTGTTTGCGGACGCTGGAGCTGTCACTGAAGCTCTTCCCACATTCTGAACACTTGTAGGGCTGTTCCCCAGTGTGGATGCGCTGGTGGGTGTGGAGGTGGGAGCTCTGGCTGAAGCTCTTCCCACATTCTGAACACTTGAAGGGCTGTTCCCCAGTGTGGATGCGCTGGTGGGTGAGGAGGTTGGACCTCTCACTGAAGCTCTTCCCACATTCCCCACACATGTAAGGCCATTCCCCGGTAAGGATGTGCTTGTGCCGGATCAGGTGGGAGCTCTGCTTGAAGCTCTTCCCACATTCCCCACAGATGTATGGCTGTTCCCCAGTGTGGATGCGCTGGTGTTGGATCAGGTGGGTGCTCTGCCTGAAGCTCTTCCCACATTCCCTACATGGGTAGGGCTTTTCCCCAGTATGGATGTGTTGGTGACTGAGGAGGGTGGTGCTCCTGCTGAAGCTCTTCCCACATTCCAAGCACCTGAATGGCTTCACCCTGCTGGGAGGCTGCTCAGGGACCACCAGGTCAGAGCTCCCGTTCAAGCTCCGGCTGCCTTCCCAGCACAGGCTGGCTCTTTCCTCCTCAGAACACCCTGGGCTGGCTTTGGAGCCCCTCCTGCGGGGGGATCTCTGGCCCTTTTCCTCCCCGCTGCCTTCCTGCGCCGGGGAGCCCTTCAAAACGGC